CGTCACTACTGGTATTAACCAGTACCGCTGGTATTAACCAGTACCGCTGGTATTCAAGTACATGACAAAAGGACGCCACTTCCACCAAGTCCAATGAAGAGAAACAGATAAGATGTTCACCTGACTGGATTATCGAGCTTACAACCCTCCCTTCACTGACTAACCCACTCAATTATTACTAATTATTATTATTATTATTATTATTATTATTATTATTATTATTATTATTATTATTATTATTATAACAAACACTTTAAAAACGTGTTTGCTATAATTATATATACACATGTAATATATATATATATATATATATATATATATATAATATATATATATATATATATATATATATATATATATATATATATATATATGTCGTGCCGAATAGGCAGAACTTGCCATCTTGGCTTAAATAGCAACGCTCATCTTGCCATATAGGACAAGTGAAAATTTGTGTATGCAATAATTTCGCCAAAATCATTCTGAACCAAACTAGAAAAATATATTTCACTGTGTTTGTTTAGTATTAAATTACTATAAACAAATCTAAAATATATTTAGTTGGGTTAGGCTAAAATAAATTGCTCTTGTTATAATAAGGTTAGGTAAGTTTTCTAAATTTCTTTTGGTGCAAAATTAAAAAAAAAATACATAAACATTAATGAAAAAAAAATATATTTAAGCGTATAAGGGAAAATTTTGGAAAGGACTTAATTTTAAATGAGTTCTTGCTAACTGACCAGTTTTACATATTCGGCACGACATATATATATATATATATATATATATATATATATATATATATATATATATATATATATATATATATATATATATATATATATATATATATTATATATTATATAATGTATATAGGCTGAAATACTGCTGTACACTAACGGCCGCCTTCAAGACTGGCGACATTGCAGACCTGGAGAGTGTACAAAGAACTTTCACGGCACACATAAGGCACCTAAACTACTGGGAACGGTTGAAGGTCCTTCATCTGTATTCCCTCGAATGCAGGCGTTAGAGATACATGATAATATACACTTGGAAAGTCCTGGAAGGATTAGTACCAAACCTGTACACGAAAATCACTCCCTATGAAAGCAAAAGACTCGACAGGAGATGCAGCATTCCCCCGATGAAAAGCAGGGGCGCCACGGGTACACTGAGAGACAACACAGTAAGTGTCCGGGGCCCAAGACTGTTCAGTTGCCTACCAGCATACATAAGGGGGATTACCAATAGACCCGTGGCTGTCTTCAAGAAGGCACTGGACAAGCCCCTAAAGTTAGTACCTGACCAACCGGGCTGTGGTTCGTACGTCAGCTTGCATGCGGCCAGCAGTAACAGCCTTGTTGATCAGACCCTGCTCCACCATGAGGCCTGGTCTCAGACTGGGCCGCGGGGGCGTTGACCCCCGAAATCCTCTCCAGGTAAACTCCAGATATATATATATATATATATATATATATATATATATATATATATAATATATATATATATATATATAATATATATATATATATATATATATATATATTATCCTAGGTAGTAGGGTGGTAAACAGCAACCGCCCAGGGAGGTACTACCGTCCTGCCAATTGAGTGTACAACGAAAGCCTGTAATTGTGTTACATGATGGTAGGATTGCTGGTGCCTTTTGTCTGTCTCATAAACATGCAAGATTTCAGGTACGTCTTGCTACTTCTACTTACACTTAGGTCACACTACACATACATGTACAAGCATATATATACACACCCCTCTGGGTTTTCTGCTATTTTCTTTATGGTTCTTGTTCTTGTTTATTTCCTCTTATCTCCATGGTGAAGTGGAACGGAATTCTTCCTCCGTAAGCCATGCGTGTTGTAAGAGGCGACTGAAATGCCAGGAGCAAAGGGCTAGTAACCCCCTTCTCCTGTATATATTACTAAAGGTAAAAGGAGAAAATTTCGTTTTTCCATGTGGGCCACCCTGCCTCGGTGGGATACGGCCGGTGTATTGAAAGAAAGATATATATATATATATATATATATATATATATATATATATATATATATATATATATATATATATATATATATATATATATATATATATATATTATACATGTGAGGTGGCTCTGAGGAGCAGAGACACGTATATACAATTATTCGTATGAGAAAGCTAGTTAAAAAATTTTCCTTGTATGTTTTGTATGTGATGCGACTAATAACAGCAGCGGCAACAATAGCTTTTGTATTAATAGCTCCAGCGACAATAATAGCAGCAGTAGAGGCATGTGAAACAATACCATGAGCAGCAGCAATAGTGGCATTGGCAACAACAACAGCAGTAATGGCATTGGCAAGAGTAGCAGTAGCAGCATTGGCAACTATAGCAGCAGCAACATTGGCAACAATAGCAGCAGCAACATTGGCAACAATAACAGCAGCTACAGCGCTGGAAAGAATAGCAACAGCAGCAGCATTGACAATAATAGCGGCAGCAGCATTGGCAACAATAGCAGTACCCCCAGCACAATAACAACAACAGCAACAGTCACCACCACCTTCAGCAGTTCACTCTTGTCTCTTCAGTTATATCTTAGTAGGGAATATACCTCAACACTTCGTCATCAGTATTAATATAATAATACCAGACAACATTTCCTGTGTCTCTTATACACCCTGAAGGGCATTTCTAATGCTAATGATTATAACCATAATTTTTAAGAGGGTGGAGGGGTAAGCCAGCGGAAGGCCTCGGTCAGATGACCGAAAGCTCCAGCTGCGGGTAACACTTGTCCTGTTTCCTGACAAACCTTACCTAACCTAACCAGTGTCTGTTCTCGGAACTTCAGTGCTTTCCACCAACATGATATTAACTCAGTTATAGGGGATTGTTCACCTAACAGTAAAATAGGTACCTGGTGTTCCTATTCACCAGTAAAATAGGTGTCTGGGTGTTATTCAACTGGTGTGGGTCGCATCCTGGGGACAAAATTAACCTAATTTGCCATAAATGCTCAGCATAACAGGGGACTTTCTATATTGTAATATGTCATTGATGTCAATCCAGGCCTGTATACCTTGTACATGTGACCCGGAGAACCCGGCTCTCGGATGTGACCCGAAGAACCCGGCTCTCGGATGTGACCCGGAGAACCCGGCTCTCGGATGTGACCCGGAGAACCCGGCTCTCGGATGTGACCCGGAGAACCCGGCTCTGTTTATTCATGTAAGCGATAATGCAATCATAAAATTCACGTGAATAATTAAAGGGGGGAAAATAATTATGTAAGAATGGTAATCGAATCTTGAATAATTCCAGGGAAAAATTTATTACGTAATAAAGATAATCGAATCCTTCTTGAATAATTATAACGATTGAAACTAAACTGTTGTTTCCTCACTCCAAAACTGTCTGACCCTTCTAGGTTTAACGCCTAGTTATGATTATAATAAATCCTCGCTCCAAATATGTGTGCAGGAACATAAAACCAAAATTAATAACTGTTCGCACCAAAATTTTAATCACTTTGAGTGGCTTTGGGAAAAGGTTTTATGTATGTATATATATATATATATATATATATATATATATATATATATATATATATATATATATATATATATATATATATATATATATATATATATGTATATATATATATTAGGTGGGTGAGAATGGTTTTGAGAAAGGTCTGCCTAGTATGAGCCAGTAGACCTTCTGCAGTCTTGATTTTTATGTTCCTATGTTCGTCAACAAAATGGCTGATAACATAACTGTTCGATAAAAAAAATCACACTTGATGTACCTGTGTAAATGAAATACGTATATTATAAGGATTGTAACCAGTAATATATAGGACAAGAAGCTAGAAATATAATTAGCAGCCACTCGTTATATGTTAGACACGCAGGAATAGTGTTCAACATGTTAACAACAATAATAGCCCTGATGTTAAGTGAATGCTTCAGTTGAATCTAAAATAGACTTTATTTATAAATGTAAAATTTTAAGTCAAATAAGATTATTTAAGGTCCCTGATGCTGCTGTTCTTACCTTTCAAACACTCGTTTCTGCACCTAACTTGGTCCCTCTCATAGAAATCAGGGAGCGGGTGGTGGTTGAACCCATGATAAGTCCTAAAATTCACAGGTTAGAGCGTTCCGTGATTTGTTTGCAATTGCGTTATTACGATTTCGTAAGTCCCTGTAACAGACTTACCTCCTGCACCTGACTTACCTGTTGTACCTCTTTTTTTTTTTATTTTGTCCACAGTCTTATTGTAAGACAGCAGTCTCTTCTGTGGCCCATCTTACAACTGTTGCTACCCCACCTTGACATGTTCTTAGACACACCATTTTATCGTGCCAGCACCACTGAGTGGGTCATCTGATGGCAGAGACATGTCACAGTTTCTTTACTGACGAATAAACTAATATTTTGTCATTGGCGTCACAGTGCGATTAGCAAGCCGTTGTCACACAGCCTTGGCGTGTTACAGTGCTAATGGCTAACCCACCTTCACATATATTCATGAACCTCCATCATTTTGTTTCATCATTTCTCAGGCAGGAGTTTGAATCCCCAGCCGGATTAACAAGAGCCGCTGCTCTTTCTACTCGGCTATCATATCATTTGGTGCGATTCGCTTTAACTTAAGCTGGAAACGTGGTCAGTATAGAAGCAGTCACCTGGGCTTGATACGGCGTAAACTGTCACTGGCACTATTAACTTTCAATAAGAAGAGTATTCACCTGTGACCCGAACCTTTAATAATAACATTACATATTCCGACACGACATAAAGAAAGAATAAGAAAAAAAAAGCTGAAACTTGAGGACACGGTAAGAAAATCAATGACAGTGCAGTTAAGTCTATATTAGTACCACGAAATACTTAGTATTCTATATCGCATTCGCTTCTCCATTACATGTAAAAACCACACTCAACCGTGATGGAATTCGCCATTATCAAGGTTCTTGGTGCTTGATACACTTGCAGGAAGCACAAGACGTGACCTGACCACGATGAGACGTGTCATCAGGTGTGACGACACCTCAGAGTCGATCAGACGTATATAAAGTCGCCTCTATTGGAGCGCCACACAGTTTAAGCTCCTCCACTATGAAGGTTCTGGTGAGTAGAATAAACGCTTCGTTTTTTTTTTTTTTTTTTTTTTTAGAACCTGTAGTGCTTATTTTCATTTGTGTATCACATTGTACAGGGAAGTATAACAGTGAAGACAGTTATTACAATAATAATCGTATCAACAGTGAAACATAATACTTAGTATCAGTATCTTAGTATTATGAACTAGGTTTATCCTGCAGATCGCTGTTGCTGCCCTCCTGGCTATCTGCTTGGTTGTTGACAGTGCTGAGCATGATCTGTTTGCTGAGACTAGTTTACCTTCACACCACCACGGGATCTTCCGAGGAGACCACCACCACCCCAGTAAGAGGGGCGCTGAGGCTCGAGTTGTCACCAATCCCGAGTATTACAGTGGAGGCTATGATGGCCTCCCAAAATATCGTTATTATGGAATCCATTATCCAGGTTTCCGAGGTAAGAGGAGCGCTGAGTCCGATCCTGGCCATCACCGCTGTGGTGACTTCCCAAGTCATTTTGGCTTCCATGGTAAAAGAAGCGCAGAAGCCAACCCTGGACCTGCAGCAGAACCCCTGGCTGACCCTGAAGCCAATCCCTCTCATTTCTACGGCAGTCGTGGGCTCTACCGTCACTCAGGAGTGAAACATGGCGTCTACACACACTACGGAAACTTCAACTGAAAACTCTACCTATTTGTGCTGGCATAAATGTGGGCCCAGCCCCGCCTCTTCGTGGGTTCACACACTCCTGGCTTCGTGAGCCCTATCATACCTTTTCTTAAAGCTATGTATAGATCCTGCCTCAAACGCCCTGGCTGTCCAGGTTTTTTCATCTCACAGAATTCTCTGAGGCTGAAGAAATATTTCCTACATCACTGTATCTTTTTTTTTATTTCCAACTGTACCCCCCGTGTACCTGATTCCCGCCTCTCGAGCAGCCTATCACTGTCTACCCCATAAATCTCTCAGTATTTTGTACGTCGTTATCACGTCTCCCTGAGGCTGGGAAGGTCGTGTGTACACTAAGAGGTGTATGTCTCTGTACATACGACAAGAATTTTCCGTGGTCTTTATTTCCAGAATTAAAGTATATTTTGTACATATACAATTTGCCCAAAGACCTCCATTAATAACCTCTAGTCTTCAAAGCACCTACTCGTAAAGCAGAAAGAAGAGAAAGAAGTTGAATGCCGTCTTCATGGATTCTGACTTCTTTGTTAATCTCCCTCCAATACGTTAATTTATTTTTGTAAATAAACAAATTTTGTATATATTATTTTTTACATATCCCGTGTGTGAATGGAGATTTCAATGCAAGTTTCTGGTACAAATATTTAAATAACTTAGATATTTGAGAGTTCCAATTGGTTTGTATCAGGTGTCCCGTGGCCTGGTAGGCAACGCTCTCGCTGCACAAGCTGAGACCCGTGGTTCAATCCCTGGTACAGGTGCCAACATTAGCTCGTGTTTTCTTAAAGACATTGCTTTCCATGTTCACCTAGCAGTAAAATAGGTACCTGAGGGTTAGTTGACTGGTGTGGGTCGCATCCTGGGGACAAAATTTACCTAATTTGCCCGAAATGCTCTGCATAACAAGCGGTTTTCTATATAGTAGTATGTCAGTGATGTCAGCTATGGTCTGTATACCTTGTACATGCACTTGTAGAAATATAAGATTATTATTACGACTAAAATTTGCCTAAATTTGGCGTTATCCCCCGACATGGTATATGTATCGACCTTTGTGTATGTACCGGAAGGAATACATCTGTGTATATACCGAAAGGTGTATATCCTTATGTATAAGTTGAAAATAGTATAAAATACCGACAAGTTGATGCATAAGATACCCAACTATTGCATATTCATCATTATGTGTATACTGAGAGGTGTTTATTTGTATACATCCGAAGGTGTAGGTATCTTTGTTGTATATGCTCCGAGAGGTATACGTATCTCTATATACAGAGACTAATCCCTATTTTAGGAATTTGTGAAGGCTTCAAGACACGGTAATGCAACACTGGGAATATTAATTCCAAGGAAATGTTTATTTCAAACAACATACTACGCTTAACTACATACGCTGTCACAACCCTGGGATGTTACACGACCAGTTACTGCTGCTCCTGTTATTTTTTTCTTAAAATTATTGTTTTTTTTACGCTTTAGGTATACTTTTTTAAGTAACTTGAAGGTGTACTTATAGGTATCCTACTTCGAGTTACTAGAGGAGGCGGTCAAGAGGTATTGCATCTGCTAGTCTGGGTGCTTTTCCAGTACGTAAACGTTGGTAGAAAGGCATAATATAGACAGATGTGTGGATCAAGACAGGTGTTTGGACAAAAGCAGGTATGTAGAGTAAAGCAGGTGTGCGTGGACAGGACACAGAC